AGCCTGTATTTGTAATATTTTCAAAAAATTGGGCCCTTATAAATAAATATTTTTTAGTTGGGCCCTCATCCATAATTATTTTCAAATTTGGGCCCTGATGTGTAATTTTCTCTTATTTCAAACCCCACCTCAATCTTCAAGAATCCAACCACTGGCCGATACACAAGCTGTTTTGGATTATCTTTAGGCAAATCAACGAGAAAGTGTCCTGTTACGGATAAACTATTTCTAGGGAATGGTATTTAAGACCCACAAGCATGGATTGAAAGCTTTGAAAAAGCTGCTACGGCTAATAAATGGAGTACTCATAGGAAATGAGAAATTCTACTGGTATTTCTGTATGGTAATGCAAATGATTGGCAACAAACGTACTTTGCTGCTAATCCATCTGCAGCAAAACTAGCTGATCCTAATAGTGACTGGACAGCCACCTCCGATGCCTTTAAGGCTAGGTTTTGTACTCAGTGGTGGACCAACAAATGGATTACTAAGCTAGACAACCTCAAACAGTTGCCGGAAAAATCTATTAAAACTTACTATAGTAAGTTTAGGCACCTAATTAAAAGATTGGAGCTTGGTATGAATATACAAGACCCCCAAAAGTTGTACTACTTTAAAAAGAGTCTACATACGGATCTTCTACCTGTAATTTTAATGCATAACCTAGCCAACCTAGATGAAATTTTGGAGTTAGCATGTATCTATGAGCAAGGTACGGATTTTGCTACTAATGCTAGTCCTATTGTCTTAGGTGTTGCTAGGAATTATAATAGGGAAATAGAGCAGTTAACCCAACAAATGCAGCAAATGAGCTTTAACTATGCTACTATAGCCTCGGCCCTGGTGGTGCAAATAGATAATAAGGCCCCAAAACCAACTATGCCATGTCATGAGTCTTCAAGAAGTGCTTGTATTACCTACTATAAGTGTAGCGAGCCCGGGCATTATGCTATAGAGTGCCAATCAGAGTGCTTGCCTACCAAGAAACAATGCTATCAACAACAGAGAAGGTCCAATACTAATAGTAGCAGAAATCAGAATATAAACTTTGTTGGAAACAAATATGATAGTGAAATCAAAAAGGAAGTCTATGTTAATAGGCCTCAATTGTACTTTATGAACAGAAAAGGGCAAAAAGAAAAAATTAAAGCAGTCTGAGTCCTAAAAAGAACATGCTTTAAGAAGTAAAGCTCCTAAGGGCAACCTCTAGTGGTAAAGGAGAAAAAAGACCTGATGGATCTTGAAGATCATGTATCAACAACTCTAGTAAAGCAGGTGGTCAAGCATCAATTACCATCAGTAGTCGATAAAATCTACTCGTATAATATTTCTAAGAACCTATTACAAGCTCTAGCCTGAGTTACATATGGCCAGATGTTGCAGTATGCCAACTAAAGATAAAATTTGGCTAAGGCTTTAAGAAGAAGGAAAGACTCTAGTACTGAAGCTAATCATTTAAAAGCCACTAGCCCACATAGAACAATTGCTATGCGCTATCATATCTGGATAAAGGGGGCGCCAGTAGTAGCCATATTAGACTCTGGGGCTGCTGTGAGTATTACTACCAGAGTCTAATGCAGAAACTTCACTTAACAATAGATAAGCCATCTAAGATGGTAGTTATAACTGCTAATAGCAACCATATCAAAGCATTAGGGATAGTTAGCCATGTTCAAATCTGTCTTCAAGATTTAGTAATTTCAATAGACTTGCAAGTTATAGAATCCCAGGAAGAAACATTATTATTGGGAACTGATTAGTTTAGTAAGTCCCGGGCTAAGTTGGATTTTGGCAGTAATACCCTCTATGTTAAGTACCTAGGTAAACAAGCAACCATCAATGCTACCCATGTTAGCAATGAGAATCTACCCAAAACTATAAAGATTTTACTGACAAAAAAATTGAATTGATAAGTTGGAAGATGATGATGATGAAGACCAAGAAGCCTTTTATACTGATAGTAGCTCCTCAGATAATGATAGGCTCTTCTATAACTTCTGGAGTGATAAAAACCCAGCTGTGTATCTAGCTGAGTCCTTGGAAAGCCCTCAGGACAACCAGGATATCCTTTTTGATATAAATAAGGATTTGACC